GGAAAAAGAATGGCAAACCTATCCAATCTGTTGATTTGGGTGTCTTGCATATGAACTGCCTCCTCTTCTGGTTTGGATGGGAAATTTTTCTCCTGTTGGGGCTGCTCATTTCCCTTTCTCTTTCCTTTTGTAATCTTGTGCTCTTTTCAAGACCAATTTTTTTCCTCACCTCCCAAACTGCATCACCCCATTACTGATGCCCTGGATAGTCCCACTTGATGAGGTAAAGGTGATTCCATAGAGATAAAGAGCATGAAAGGAGGGGAAACTTGAAACAGTATCTGAGAAGGGGAGAGGGGGCAGGCATTAAAGCCCATCACATTTCTATTTTAGTAAACTTACCTCTTCTACATTCCCTGCCCGGTTTCTGCCTTCTACTCTTGGAATAAAGAAATGAGTAAAGGAAGAAAAGTAAAAGAGGGAGGAGGGAAGTATGGTTATCTTCTTAGAGTTGTACCTATGAAATACTTGAAATCTGTTCTCTTTATATTAATAGAATTTTTTAATAGGAAAGAAAACCTGCTGGTCACAATTTCCTACCCTTAGCCCCTTATTTCCATCTTGCCTGCAAGGGAGTTTGTGTTGCTTATTGTTAATTTCTCCAGATGTGAGCAGTAACTACATTATTTAGATGCTCCATGGAGTTTGTTGAGTAGTTGTGATGATTTATATAAATGTAAATAAATTCCTATCCAGTTACATCAAAGCCTAAATTCACTTCTTTTGAACTAGTTTGAGAATTTTTTCAGAATTTGTAACTTGCTTTATCAATTGAAAATATATCCAGGAGACCAAGCTATGGTCTTACAAATAAACTTGTAAAGCAATTTCAGGGAGCTTGGAGACTGCCCTTCCTAGGAAATGTTGGAAGAGTGCTAAATTTGGCTTAATAGGTAAAGGAGACTTCCGTTCAGAGTTGGTTTGAGCTGGTAAATGAAATATTAATATTGTCTTAATACATTAATTTACTAATAACTAATAATTCTCCATTTTGAAATATTTGCTCAGATTCTGTCTTAAGCAGTAAATCCACACCAGACAACTGATAGGAATTAGGAGCTTCAGGGGCCTCTCCAGCGTAGACTCTGTCCACAAGCACTGACACTCCTCCCCTCACTGTCATCCCAGACCATCCATCAATCCCTGCCTTTCCATGAGGGCACCAACTTCCTCTCTTCCTGCCCTGCAACGTAGCAACTTTGCTAATTACTCAGACACCAGACATCTACATCTAGATGTTCTTGGCCTTGTCCTTAGGTCAGTCATTAATTCCTAACTATCTCCTAATTATATCTTCATCACCATTGCCAATATCCCAATGTAGCTCACCATTATTCCTCACTCAAACTCCAGCAATCACCTCCTAGTAGGTCTTTTTATGAGTTTTGTGCCCTTTTTAATATGTCTTCTTCTCGTTAGCCAAAATTGTCTTTTTACAAAGGAAATTTCCTCACAACTCTCCCGTGCTTAAAAACCATCCAGTGACTTGCTGTTGGCATTAAGTCCAAAGTTCAGAATGTGGTTCAGAAGACTGTATGCTCTCCATCAGCATCATGCTCCGTGTCACACCACACTTCCCCATTTCTGTGTTCACCAGTGGTAAATTCCTCTCCAAGTTCTGTGATCACATTGTATTTTCCTCTGCTTTGAGATCTTCCACAAGGTGCTCTCATCTGCCCTCAGTGCTTGTGCCACATTCTTCAGATCTTTTTTTTTAAAAAAAAAAAAAGATTTATTTTGTTTATTTGAGAGGCAGAGTTAGAGAGAGAGAGAGAGAGAGAGAGGTCTTCCATCCACTGGTTCACTCCCCAAATAGCCGCAATGGCCAGAGCTGCGCCCATCTGATTCTAAGGCAGGAGCCAGGAGCTTCTTCCAGGTGTCCCACATGGGTGCAGGGGCCCCATCACTTGGGCCATCTTCTAGTGCTTTCCCGGGCCATCAGCAGGGAGCTAGATCAGAAGTGAAGGAGCCAGGACTCAAACCATAGGGTATGCCAGCGCCACAGGTAGAGGCTTAACCTACTATGCCATAGCACTGTCCCCCATTCTTCTGATCTTAAGCATCATTTCTTCAGAGAAAACTCTCCTGACCCCACAAGGCAGGTAGGTCCCTTGTCATCATCCTGCAGCGCTTGTCTGCTAGCTGCAGGCTCTAAAAGTCACGTGCATGCCTGTTTTATCCTCATCTATATTCCTGCTTTCCTGACTCTTCTGTTTATCAGATCCACCAAAACTCCCCTCTCCCCTGTTCTCTGAGGAGTAGATGTGCTGCCATTCTCTTCCATTCCAAATTATGTTTTAGAGAAATGTATCCCATATTTAACCTCATACATACCTGGGACTCAGTGAGAGATGTTTCCAATCAACCTATCTCAACAAGCCATTTTATAGAAGCAGAACAGTATAGTAGTTAATATCATGGTCCCTCAATTTAAGCTGCTTGGGTACAAATCCTAGCTTTGTCAACCACAGAGTGAGTGACCTCAGGTAAATTGTTAAACCTCTAGCCTTAACTGCTTCCTCACTTGTCAAATAGTAATAATACTTAACTTAGTATTATTACTAAGTTAGGGGAATTAAATGAATTAATAAGTGTCAAAAAATTAGAATAGTGCCTATATACATGGGATGCAAATAATTGCTGTTGTTATTTCTTGAACTTGGCCTCTATATTAATCTGCTTCTCATTACTGTAACTGAATACCTTAAACGAGTTATTTGGGCACTTGGCTTTGGAGGTTTACAGTCTAAGATTGGGTGGGCTCCCTTTGGTTAGGCTGTCAGGGAAGGCCAGAGGATGGCAATGGTGGAGTGTGTGTGCAGGAATGATCACATAGCTTGGGCTTTTGCAGCCAACCCTCTCACAAGAACTACCTGCTGAGGAGTGCTCCCAGTGACCTAAGGATCTCCCTCTAGGCTCACCTCCTGGACACCATAATTAGATTGTTCCCACGCTCTTAACATCATTAACTTAGGACTTTGAGTAGTAAATAATTGTCCACATGAGTTCAAGAGGTTTATGCTACTCAAACCACACCGGGTCCTCTGTCACATAGATTAGCAAATTAATTCTTTGAGCGTAGGGCTTACATTGGTCTTGATTATTTTGATTTGTCTAGTGACCAGCAATTTATTGCTTAACAGTAAGTGGTTATGCTTTAAACATTTGTAGTACGAGTACAAGGATGACTGAGTGGATGTCATTCATCATAGTGAAGAATACAAGGGGTCTTCAAAAACTTCATGGAAATTGTGTATTATGAAAAACCTATGCATAGATTTCAGAATTTTTGTACCAAGTAAAGCTGCTTTTAATTCCATTTTCCATACACCTTCTCAAGTACCTTCATATCAGACAAGGAAACTAATCTTTATTAAGAAATTTCCATGAACTTCTTGTCTTTAACTGAAAATGGAGGCAGTAACACCCTTGTCAGAGAGTTGTTGTAAGATTTTAGTAAGAGTACAGCATGAAAAATACTCATCCCAGTGCCCAGCACACTATACTCACCAACTGCAGGCTGCTATTACTCTCCACACTTGTAAGCCAGTAGATCTAACTCCCTGGGTTTGTTCCAATATTAGGCTCTCATTTCTGCTTCTCTGTCCTCTTTATTACAACATTTGCAGATAATCTATCTTTCCAGCCTCCTATCATTGTTAGAAAATCTCTGTGAAAGACTAGCAAACTCCTCTGCCTTCCATATTAACCAACATATTTCCTGTTCGGAGGTTATTCCATCCTTACGGATATTGAGAAGATAAATGGAAGTGATTAAGGATGCAGTTTCCAAACATAAAACATTGTACTATAGGAGTTTGCCAACAATGATTAATATAAGCAGATGTCTGGAGAACTTTATGAAGACCCTGTGTATCTCTCAGCTCTAATGACTAAGATCATAGATATGATAGAAATCTGTAAATAGCAAGTAAAAGCAAATTTATTAAAGTCTAGGACAACTGCATTATCCAGCTGTACACAGTGTATTATTTCTTCAGATGCTGCAGTAAATGAAGAAGATGGTTGCCATAGAGACTGTTTAAACCATGCCCCTTGGCTAGCAGATTAGAAGTCCATTTCAGCACAGTAGAAGAAAATGTACTTTGTCTTTAACTGGTATATACAAACTATCAGTCAGCTGCAAGTCTAGTTATTAAAGTGCATATGTTATGCCCATAAGCATTGCACTTTATGAAGACTTTTGTTCCTTTGGTAAAACATTTTAATATTTATATGCAAACCTTAGAAGCTGCTATTTTTGCCTTGGAAAATGTATTTTTTCAAGTTCTTTCCCCTAAGATGTTTTAAAAATCTTCCTTGAAATCTTTTCAGCTACATAGTTGGCTTCATTTTCTTTGAAACTCATATTTTATTTTTTGAATCATTTGTGGGAGGCAATATGTGGCACCAGCACAGGAAATGCTTATGAAACATGGAAAACCCGTTTAATAATAACTCATAGTAATCAGTTAGCAGAAAGATTTGTGGATGGTAATATTCAGATCTTTATGTAGTCGTTTAATCTGTTCTTCAAAATTCAGAAAGTAATTACAAATCCACAGCCAGGAAAATCTGCCGGTTGATGCGAGCATTTGCTGCGGGGAGAAAATTTGTCAAGGTTAAGCTTATTTTGTCTGGTTGGGTAAGATGGGTTCTGTGGATAACAAAGTGGAAGCTAGATTTTTTTGTAAGTTGAATGAATTTTATGTCATCGTAAATCTGCCCACTGTTCCCTGAAATATTGCTGCATAAATCCGTTTTTCAGGTGTGATAACTTAAAAGCGATTTGCCTTCCCTGGGGAAGTAATAATTTTCCTCTTTTCCTGGCATCAGGGCCTCAGTCATGACCTTCCTTTGCCTAGGCCACGGTTCAGATAATTGCTTCCTTCTTGTGTACTAGTGACTTTTTATATTTATATCATTTTGCACGTGTGTGTGTGTATGTACATGTGTCTGTGTAAAGATATGTGTGTAGTTGAGCATTTAAAGAGAGGAAGGTGTTCACTTCAGCAGCGCATATAGTAAAATGGCAACTGATACAGAGATTGGCATGGCCCCTACACAAAGATGATATGCAAATTTGTGAAGTGGTACATATTTTTTTTGAAGTGCCCATGTCAAATGACCAAATAGCTCTGTATATTGATCTACTAAGATCAGGGTTTTTCTGGGGGAAAAAAGGTAAATAAAGGAAACGTAGTCGAGGGAAAGTACCTTACCAAGTATATGAGTTCCTAACCAGACCCTTCAAGTTCCAAATGCTCGTGAAGCTCACTTCCCATCTTCCCCGCATCCTCCTACCCCCGAAGTCTTTCTCTTAAATATAGCAAAACCAGGTGAGTTGACATGCAGCAAGGTCTGTCAAGAACTGAAAAGAAATCCAAATCATTGAGGGTAGAATATCAATTTTTTTTTTTTTTTTTTACTGTGATTAAGTGAAACTTAGTCACTTGGTTAATCCTCTGCCTGCGGCACCAGCATCCCATGTGGGCGCTGGGTTCTAGTCCCGGCTACTCCTCTTCCAGGCCAGCTCTCTGCTGTGGCCCGGGAATGCAGTGCAGGATGGGCCAAGTGCTTGGGCCCTGCACCCGCATGGAAGACCAGGAAGAAGCACCTGGCTCCTGGCTTCGCATCAGCATAGTTCCGGCTGTAGCGGCCATTTGGGGGGTGAACCAACGGAAGGAAGACCTTTCTCTCTGTCTTTCTCACCGTCTAACTCTATCTGTCAAATAAAAATACAAAAAAGTGAAACTTAAGCAAATGCCTCTTTCCTTGGGTAAGAGAGTTGCTATAGGAGTTACACATTGTTAATATTCTTGTTTATCAAACATAAAATTGATCACTTTTCTTCATTTAAGAATCTCTTTTAAGTTTTATACAAGTGGTAGCAAACAGTGAAAGTTTCTAACAGACACTATCCTCAATTCTGCACTAGAGAGGCAGGAAATCATAAATATTTTCTTTCTACCTCCACAGCAACTAGTGGTAGCTATGTGGTCTGTTGTGGTCGGTGCCACCTAAGCAGAAGTTTACTGTGATGTTCCTGAGAAGCTTTTCCTTCCTAATAAAGGGACAGACATGGTTGGTGTCTCCCCTACTCCCTGCCTGCTTCTCTTTTTACCTGCGATGTGAATGTAATGTCTGGTCCTGTGGTTGGCACGTTGTGACCATAAGACTAAGGCTAAAGATGGTGGAACGGAACGGTGGAAAAGAGTCTTTGATGGCATCCTTCAACAGGAGACTCAATCTCCTGTTCCTGTTTCACGTTATATGAGGCAAATTTAAGCCACTGTTTCTTTGATTTTCTGAACACTTAACAGCCAAGCAAACATCCTAACAGTTACAAGACGTGGTTTGAGATACAGCCTGAGAAGCCACCCCCAGATCCAAAAGATAAGTGAATACTTTCCATTTTATTTCTTATCAAGTTCAGATGATATTATTCCATTCATATTAATCATTAAAAGCTTTTTTTTCAGGCCAGCGCTATGACACAGTGGGTTAAAGCCACTACCTGCAGTGCTGGCAAACCATACAGGCACTACTTCAAGTCCTGGCTGCTCTACTTCTAATCCAGCTCCCTGCTAATACACCTGGGAAACAGTAAAGGATGACTCAAGTCCTTGGGCCCCTGCACCCTCGTGGGAATCCTGGAAGAAGCTCCTTGCTATTGGCTTCAGCCTGACTCAACCCTGGTCATTATGGCCATTTGGGGAGTGAACCAGCGGATGGAAGACCTCTCTCTCTCTCTCTCTCTCTCTCTCTGTCTCTACCCCTCTACCCCTCTCTCTGTATCTCTTTCTTTCAAATAAATAAAATAAATCTTTAAAAAACAAACAAACAAACAAAAAAAAACAAGCTTTTTTCAATCCAGCAAGTAAGTTGGACTTTTCCAAAGTGGGAAAGAGAAGTGATAGTTGGTGTTATGTAAGCAATGGCACTCTATTGTGGGGAGCAACTGGGAGCAACTCGGACTAGACTAAGTTACTGGAATTAACACTTATTCTATGCATCTGCTCTCCCACAATATGGCGCTGGGAGAGGAGGAAACAGCTTCTACACAGCTGCCTCCAGTTCAACCAATAAACAGCAGGACCTGCTCCTGATTGGAGGAGAGCAGCGTACTCGGCGTGTGGGTAGCAGAGTTGGGATTGGCGGAAGAGGACTATAAAGGAGGAGAGAGACAACATGCACCAGGAACATCTAAGGGGAACACCTGAGCAGCCCCCGAGAGAGCCGGCCGGCGGTGTGCCGCTCCCCTGCGGAAGTGGGGAATGTGGCAGGGGGAACCGCCCTTCCACGGAGGTGGAAGGGACGGTAGCCAACCCAGGAAGAACCAGCAGCAAACCCGGGGAGGGCCGAGCAGACAAAAGAACAGTGCAGGGTTTAGTGTCGTTCCTCCACGAAGAGGGGGAGCGACATAATGGTGCCGTGACTCGGATAGGAAACCTAGGCAGGGTTTAGTGTCGTTCCTCCACGAAGAGGGGGAGCGACACTCTATCAAGATGTGCATTTAACACAGTTCAAGAATCCTCTTTAGGGTAATAATAACTTTTAACCTGTTTGGAAATATGGCCAATTACAACCACGAAGGAGCAAATCTAAGTTGAATCCCTTTTAATCAGGGGTCCAAAGGGCTTCTATCTCCTTAACATATTAAGGCATTTTCTGTGGAAGTTAATGAAACTGACTTCCATAAAATAGCACGTCCTTCCTGTAAGCATCCTGGTTCTTCACCCATTTCTGGATCTCTGGGAAGGGAAGTGGCTCTCTAGATGTTGTCTTCTATTGTTTCCAAGCAGTCAGCTGCAATGCCATGTGTCTATCTGCTTCATTATCTGACAGTGTCAAGTTCCCCTGATCTCACAGTCACTTCAGAAAGCTAGTCATGCTCAAGTTAATATCACCTGTTCTGAATCAGTTATTCACCAGATTCTCCATTGATTCTGGCTTCAAATTTGTATGTCAGATCATTCAGTAACAATTACCAACTGCTTTCTGTTTTAAATTGAGGTTAAATTTACACACTATAAAATTAACGAGTTTAAAATATACAATTTAGGGCCGGCGCCGCAGTTCACTAGGCTAATCCTCTGCCTGCACTGCTGGCACCCCAGGTTCTAGTCCCGATTGGGGCGCCGGATTCTGTCCCAGTTGCTCTTCTTCCAGTCCAGCTCTCTGCTGTGGCCCGGGAAGGCAGTGGAGGATGGCCCAGGTCCTTGGGCCCTGCACCTGCATGGGAGACCGGGAGGATGCACCTGGCTCCTGGCTTCGGATCGGCACAACATGCCGGCTGTAGCGGCCATCTGGGGGGTGAACCAAGGGAAGCAAGACCTTTCTCTCTGTGTCTCTCTCTCTCACTGTCTAACTCTGCCTGTCTCTCTCTCTCTATATATATATATATAAAATTTAGTGGCATTTAGTATGTTCAGAATGTTTTACAACCACTACTTTACCAAGTTCCAAAACATCTTCATCACTTTATTTAGGGTTTTATTTGAAAGAGTTTAGTTATTTGAGACTATACTGTATTTAGTTTATGTTATTTGAAAGAGTTACAGAGAGAGAAGGTGAGAGACAGAGAGAGAGAGAGAGAGAGAGAGAGAGAGAGAGATCTTCCATCCATTGGTTCACTCACCAAATGGCCAGAATGGCCGGAGTTGGGCCTATCAGAAGTCAGGATCCAGGAGCTTCTTCCTGGTCTCCCACTTGGTACAGGGGGCCAAGTACTTGGACCATCTTCCACTGCTTTCCCAGGCGCATTATCAGGGGGCTGGATTGGAAGTGGAGCAGTCCGGATTTGAACCCGTGTCCATATGGAATGTTGGTGTCACAGGCGGCAGCCCCACCTGCTATGCCACAGTGCTGGCCCTGACTTTATTACTCCCAAAAGTAAACCCTGTACCCATTAAGCAACCGCTCACCATTCTCTTCTCCCTCCAACCTGGAGCAACCACTGTCTTTCTATCTATGGATTTGCCTATTTTGGATCTCATATAAATAGAATCATACAATATTTTCTGTGATCTTTGTGTCTGGCTTCCTTTAATATTGCATGTTTTTAAGGTTCCTCTATATTGTAACATGTATTAGTACTTCATTTCTTTTTACAGATGAGTAATAATTCTGTGTTTGTATATTAAATTTTTCTGTGCCATCGTGAATAGTGTTGCTTTGGTATTCATGTACACTGTTTATTTGAGTACCTAATTTAAATTCTTTGGCTTTATTACACAGGAAAGAACTTTCTGGGTTGGCAATTTTATGTTTAGCTTTTTGAGGAACCACCACACTGATTTCTACAGCACCTGCATTATTATACACCTGCCTCAGCAGTGTATAAGGTTCCTGTTTGTTCATAGCCTTACCAATATTTGTCTTTTTTTCTCATTTTTTATTATACCAATCACAATAGATATGAAGTGCCATCTCAAATTGTTTTTAACTTAATTTCCTGAATGCCTATCAATGATGAACATCAATTCATGTGCTTGTTGTCCATCTGCATATCTTCGTTTTGTTCTTACTTTTATTTTAATTGCTTGTGGACATTTCAACACACATAGTTTTGTGGTGCATATGATAAAATCAGGCTTATTAGTGTGTATATCACACCAAGGTTCTTCAAAAAACTAAAAGAATTACATATAATCCAGTAATCTCACTATGGAGTAGATATCCAAAGGAATTGTCATCAGTATGCCAAAGAAATGTGTGTATTCCCATGTTCATTGCAGAATTATTCACCATTGCCAAGATATGGAAGAAACCTAAGTGTTCATTGACAGATGAATAAATTTAAAGTGTTTATATACACAAATGAATGCTACTGAGCAAAAAAAAAAGAATCAAGAATTTGTCATGTGCCTCACATATGAATGTGGAGAAAATTGTATTAGTTGAAGTATGCCAGGCATGGAGATAAGAATACCATATGATCTCATTTGAATGTGGAATCTAGAAAGATTGAACTCAGAAGAGGAGAGTAGAATGGTAGTTACCAGAGGATAGAGGTGGGAGAATTGAGAAGGGGAGACATTCGTCAGTGGGTACCAAGTTGCAGTTAGATAAGAGGTATAAATTCTGGTGCTCTGTAGAACAG